ACCAAGACATAGCAAGATATCCGTTTAAGTTTACATTCTTTGAAAAATTTTCTTGATCAAGCCTTATTTGTGAGCCACCAAAGCACAATAGTGTTGATAGTGCTATCCCTGAATAATTCTTAACCTCCAGACAGAAACAAATAGCAAATCTAGCACAGTTTACACTAATGTACCACACAGGAATTTCTCACCCAGTTCTTCAGTCTCACACACACACACATCAGTCTCCCCTGTGCACAGATCTTGTCCCCCAGGGCTCTGTCCACCATTTCATTGATTTACTTTACCACATTTTACAGATAGAGACAACACGCAGGATATGCTGTTGCCAGCCCCGTAAATCTTGAAACTCCCACTAGAGCCAGTGAAGACCAAATATGTTTGTGTGTAAATTTAACTGGAAAGATACTAGCAAAGATAGATCACTACTGAAATTTTGATTTCTTTTGAGTTCTTCCCTCCTTCCTCACCCAAATATTAAGAAAGAATCTAGATTACCTTAGTTCTTCTCAAAAAGATACTTGGCACAAAGCGGATTTTCTGGGGACAATTGAGGGAGGAGGAAAAACTTATCATTCTCTTTAGGAGCCACAGAAGGGGTAGGAGAGGATTTAAGGATGCATTTAACCCAGCCAATACCTGTTTGTTAACAGAGGAACAGCTGCCTGCCTGAATTTCCCCTTTAGCTAAGGTTAACAGAGATCCACTCCACAGCACAAGGAAGACTAAAATTAAACCCAACAACCGCTTATTGGCCTAACAAGCCACGTGAACAAATTTCTAGCTGGCTTGAATGTTTATGTTGTCACTGGTGAAATTTATCCCATCTGAAATTCAATTGAAGACAACTCCGTCATATCCTTTTTTTTTTGGCCTGCCACTGAAACAGAAAACAAGAATGGTTCTTGAGAAGGCCCAGTTGTAGTTGACTTTGGGATTAAGGTGCGGGGAGGGGGAAAGAACAAACAGAAAACAGTAAAATGTTTGTATTCCTAAAAACATACCTCTGTCTCTTGCACCAGGGGACAAGTGAGCCATCATCCACCCATCCACCCTGTCTGGAATGAAATGCCTATCTGAAGGATGACGAGAGTTTCTGGGGTCAGAATAAGCATGTGGGAGAAAACCCTCTTCTTCCTCTTCAGTGAAACAAAGAGGCTCCGTTACAGGTACCAGTTATATCATTAAAACTTGTGAGAGATGATGGCGTACAGAGCGAGCAACCTTTCACCTGCCTGTGGGACAATGCCCCATCGGTGAGGCCACCATCGCGCTGGGGTCACCCTGGCCTCCTGGCTCACCTCAGCTCCCGGCCCTTGCTGTGCCCTGACAACAGGCTGGTGCATAGTGGTTGCAGGAACAGATTTAAAAATCAATGGAAATGATATTAATCTCTTGTAACTGGTGACTGGACAGGTCCTTTCTGGGAAACCCTCCAAGTTGTCCATAATCACAACCTAAGTTGATTTCCAAGCCTTTAAACACGGCCTTAGGAAAGATCTTGGCAGTTTGGCGAGGGCCTTAGCTTTAACGCCAGATACAGAAAGTATAATCTGAGAGACTAATAGAGTTTTGTAATATATAAGCACATGAATCATTTTGTGGAAGAAGGTGAAAGAAAGGAAGAACATGTATTTGCATTTATAGGAGAAAACTTAATGGTAATATGCTAGTTTTCCTCTTCCACATTAAAGCAGAAAAAAAGCTCTTGATGTATCAAACACAGCATTCCCCAACCATAAGATTACATTCATTTAAAATGCATGGCGAGAAGGATGAAAAAGGGTCAGAGTTAAGCCATTCACTTGACAAATAGATGTTACATTCAGAAGAGAGGAACGTGCCCCTGCCAGAGCACCCTAAGTCGTGCCCTTCTGCTTTGTAATTAATTTTTTGTCTCTGTTCAGCTGTGCTCACATTTCTTATCTTACAGACGATCTCTAAAGCCCACTTGGGGATGAAGTAAGCTTATATGGAGGAAAGGATAATGAGGTTAGTAGGTGTCGCTATGCAGGTTTCCAGCCTTACATAGTCTTTACACTTAGTAGTGCTTACTATTTGAGACAGTTATTTCATTTTTGTAGTCATCTTTAATACTCAACAGGCTCATCTTCAGCAACAGCCAATCCTTAAAAATGATGTAAACAGTAACTGGCAAAAATCCACCACTAACTTGCCAGTTCTCTTGAACTTCAGTCCAATAAACTAATTAAAATGTTTAAGACCAAGTCCTGTCCAAGCACTAGAATTCATCTCTGTTGCATAAATGTGGCATGATGTCATGAAGGCACACCACCTAAGTAAACCAGCATACTTCTGGAGATGTTTCAATGACAGGACCTCACTGATAGGATTAGACCAATCCCACAAGTTTCAGAGAAACTGGTTACTATAACCTCTCCCAGACAAGGAGATGAAGAACTGGTGACTGAAAAGAAAACGTGGTAGACAAGTCCTTATTAGGACCAACCGACAGAACAAAACAGACACCAGGAACTAGAATGAGGTAAGATAAAATATAATGTAACATAAAAGGAGTTATTAGTCCCTCTACTTGTGCTACAACTAACTAGGGCTTAAATCTCTCACAGGAAAATAAAGGCTTTTAGGAAAATAAAGTTTTATTGAAAAGTAAGCTGCAGGCATTTTGTGGCTCACTGTCTTACTTTTTCGGGAATTTAACCGTGGGATGCACAGGCATCTCTCTGCAGGAAACTTTTACTAACCATGCTCACTGTCTTACTTTTTCGGGAATTTAACTGTGGGATGTACAGGTATCTCTCTGCAGGAAACATTAAAATTTACTAACCAGTAAGTAAGTATTGCTAAGGATGAACTAATCATGGGTTAGCACAAGGAAAGTTCAAAGTCCACTTTTAAATTAGTAACAATAACTTACACTTTCCAATAACTCTACTTCTGTGTATAGTGGGATGGGTTCTGCATAGCCTACCTGGCTATATATTCTACTATGTGGTCTCTCTAGCTGCTACCATTTCTACATTTTCTGATGTCTTTCCCCATTTCCTAGCCTTTGTGTCAATGAAATCAAAGCTGCAGTGGCAATGTGCTGTGGCTATATCTGAAATCAAACATTCATCTCCTTTTGCTGTTCTAGCCATGATGTCACATATACATCGACATTAGTAAAATATATGAAGCATTCCATAAATATTTTCAACCCCTCACTTATTATAAATATGTACCAATTTCTTGTGTCTCTGGAATATACATCTATTCAAGCTGGACAGAATGCTGATGTTGCCTTTAAAATCATTCTGCTCCATCACAAATTTTTGTTTAATTTATTCTATTTCTACTCTTGAGTTTGCAGAAGTAGCCCTGGCTTCTATTACAACTCTCCTCTTCACAACAATGTATTGCAAGTACAAAAACCTTTACCATATGGTTCAATTTATTTTTGCTACTTAATTAGTCTCTGCAAATTGCACCTGCAAAATTGACAGCAAAACGTTTACAGAAGATGAGATTTACTATTTGAATCACCCTGGAAGTATAAGCTATGGAAACAAGGGCACAGCAGGTCTTACCTCTTTTCCAAACCTCCAAAATCCTTTTATTTGACCAATGCCTGAGCACCCTTGTCTACTTGTCTCCAGAAACCTCAGGGTTAGAGTTGAGAGAAAGAGAAAGCATAGAGCTGTGCTGTAAGTGGGGCTGGAGAAGGGCTGCCAAAAGGAAGTGGGAGCTCCATGAAGACCAGCCCTGGAAGAAATCCTTCCTTTTGGACAACAGTATCAAACTTGTCTATGGCTTCCCAGGAAAATTAGAATTAAAGTTCAGCTTCTGGTTAAAAGACAGAGGAAGTTTAGAGCTGTAGCACGTGTAGGGCTCAAAGAGTCTGAAGTCCTCATTTTTAGTATGTCCACTTTTCCTCAACACCCAGGTTTCTGTGCACTGAACTCAGCATTAAGTACTAGCTCCCGAAATTTGCCTTTTGTAAACCCAGTCTGCTGGCACAACAAATGTGCTGTTCCATCCTCCCTTTTCAACCAGACTTGTCCAGCACACACACAAAACCAAAGCATCTCTGTTCTTTCCAAGCAAAGAATCTAGGAACCTTTCAATGAAGGCTTGACCACATCATCCCTCTTCTACTGCACTGACTGTAGGATTGGCTTTTTTACAAGTATTGTAGCACCTGAAATCCACAGATGTCACAGGAGCCTGAATCTCTGCAAGTTTTGCATTAGGCACCTCAAAAGGACCGGTGCTTTTTTGCTACATTAGAGCGCAGTATTCAAACATATGCCCTTAATAAACTCCACAAGAACTACCTTCCCTCACTATTCATCCAGACAGAATTAAGGGGAAAAAACTAGGACTCCTTTCCTTCAGCACAAAATTTAGACCAACCCAATATTTCTATTTTTAATTACATTTATGATATTTCCTGTGGGTATAAGTCATGAATGCAGTTCCAGTGTGCTGGGAGCAACATAAATATAGTCATTTCCCAAAGGGATCTTACAGCTGTTATGAACGGGTCAGAGATTCTGTGAAATGCAAAACCTGAAACTTTAAAAGCTTTTTTAGCCCATATCCTTCCCATTCCTTTTCAAAGGCAGAGTTAATGGATACTGAACAACACTGCCCCAAATTTTTCCCGCAAGGTATGGAAACAGTAACTCCATTTAAATAGAGCAATATTTAGCAATAAGTAACTACCCCGTCCTATCTCACTCAGGAACTGCATCATAAATTCCTTTCTGATCCAAATTAATTCATCTGCCACTTCATGCTGACAACTGTGCAACTGAAGACAAGACACATGGAATTGTTTCCTCTGAAAATTGTTCTGAAGGGGGGAAGGAGGAGTGCAACTTTATACTGCAGCATACAAGTCTAGCCACCTCCTTCTACCCGATTCCTCACCTCTTATTTTGATGTGAGACCACTCAAAGGGCCTTATGTAAGCTTTGCCCCTTACCAAATCTGGAGATGACAGCCCATAAAAATGCAAAAGATTCTGCACTTACCTCTGATCACGGTCTGGCGAAGGAAAAATACTCATCAGCTGCTTCCCTCAGGAACAACGTTCTGTTTCAAAATAAATTAAAAAAAAGAAACAAGACTTTAAACAGTGCTTCTCTCTCTCTCTTCCCTAATGTTAGCCTCCATCAGTGTTCGTAAACATTTACTTAGCAGGAGCACCTTCGCTCTCCCGAACCAAAGGCAATGATTACATTACATTAACCACGCCATGAGGACAGAGCGAGGCCAGGACAACAGCCCTGTTGGCACCGACCAGAGGATGACGTGGGGTTGCACTGCAGCAGGCTCGATTGTGCAAGAGGGAGAAAGAGTGGGGACAGATGAGAAATGACAAGTTGGGGGGGGGGGGGGGGGGGGGGAAACACCAAACAAAAAACCACCCCAACCAACAAACCAACAACCTGGATTTAAACGTAAACCACAAAGGAAAAAAAAAAGTTCACAGAACAAGCAAATGCCACGTGAGCTGAGAGAACTGGGCACACCAGCATAGTCCTAATGAGATTTCTCACATCTGTTCATTAATATCATTGCCTTTGAAACAGCCAACAAAGCAAACTCTAAGACACTACCTTCTTTAGTCTTGGCCACAGCTAAATCAGTGCGGCAAAGCTTCAGTGGTGCGACAAAGTCTGTGTAGTCTATTGCCAAAGCCTTTAAAAGAGTCAGGACCAGTGGGTACTCCGTGAAACAAAAACAAACCACCCAAGGATGGAGTTACACCCTTCCTCCACCCCTCTACCTGGCTAGTGATCACACAGATGAAAAGTGCTTTGTGAAGCTAAGTGAAACTCAGGAAAACTTCGTGTGCACACATACACACACACACACACAGACACACTCAGAGAGCGTCTCAGCAGAGTCACCAAAACCCCGAGGGAGGGCACAGGTTAGAACAGGGTCGGGGCTAAGAGGGTAATTTTACTATACCTGTTGGACAGCCTCTAAAGGCTGCTCTTCCACATCAGCTGTGTCCGAGAGACACAAGTATCCTCCTGTAGCTTTCCAGCTCGCTCAGACCTTGATTCAGCAAAAACTCTGACCTTTGAGTTTCCGATAATCTTTAATACCTCTACAGCCAACTAGTAAACAGTAAGAACCACACTTGCACTGCCTGTAAATATAACCAAGTGCACCCAGCTCCCTGCCTTCCTCACAAATTTATAGCTAGAGCAAAATTTTCTCTTTTCCTCTTTCCTGGTTAGATAAAGGTTAGTTTAGAAAAACAGGACCGACCCTTCCTCAGCCTCCCTTGGGACACAGCTTTCCTCTTTTATTTTCATCCGTAATTCTTATGTTTCTTTGCAGTTGGAGAAGGCAGAATGAGAAGCCCTGCACGCCCAGCCTCCACAGATCCCAACCCACCAGGGGAAACATCAAAACAGTCAGATGCAACAGCAAAACAACTCAACTACAAAAGGGGTGAATGTTTAATGTCACTGTAAAATGAATAGACAACTAAAGAAATGGTTTTCACAGAACCGTGGCAATCCAGTGAAACTTACTAAGAAAGACAATCAAATGAGGAGGTTAATTATTAATAGAACGTATACAATGTCAATAGATAAGACTCACATGTCCACTACCCCATGGTAGTCATTAAGACCCACACAAGCAGATAAAATCCACGCAACTAATGGCATTTAATATATGTTTCCCATAGGGGCTGGCTGTCCCCCGAGGTTTCACTGCAAAATATCTTGCATTTTCTGATGCAAACTATTACCAAAGTGGCGACCTGGACCAAGATGGAGTAGCACTCTGCTCCAGTTGGTTTTACTTTCCAGAATACAGCAGACTTGAAAAAAACCAAATGGATCAATAGGTCACAAATGCAGTGGAAACACTAAAAAGGAACATGAGTTACAAGTAATTTTCTCTTCAACTTTTAAAAACGCAACTTGCTCACACTTACAGAAGCTCAGAAACAGTTGTATCAATGAGGTAAGGAGACTCCTGCTCTTTGCAGTCCCACAGTTTTCCACGAAGGCACATCACAACAGCACAGGATAAGAAGCAAGAATTTAACACCAGTTGAATGGGGTAACAGGGAGTTTAAACTGAACGCAGTAATTGATGAGCAGTCAGTGATGAAACACAAAGAACAGAGTGATATTACCAAGCAGATAGATTTTTCCATCCATAAAATATGACTGGAATCGGCCAAATCCGATTTCACTAGAAGATTTATTTTAAAGAACCTTAAACTAAAGGAGTAGTTTAAAGCAACACTCAAATGATGACACATTTCCACAGGAAGCCAAGTTAGATGGCAAAAAGCTTGCCTAACAATTTTCTTTTTCTATACATACGGATCTGCCTCTGTTGTCTGTGAGAAGCAAACAGGTTTGTACGATTGGAAAGCCCTCACCTCAAAGCACCCGTTACCACCATTATCACCAGCTGCTGAACACCACCTCCCAAACGCTTAACAGAGAAGGCAACATCACATTTCACCTCCAGGCATCAGAGCATTTACTCATGGAAATGAATCTCTGCCTAGCACACAATTAAGCTATTTCGGAATGACTTCATTAACTCTAGGAGCATCCTATCTTTTCCCATGTTTGTATTTAGTTTCAAATTCACCAGCCATCACAGAAGAGTGGGAAAGCTCAGGAGCTCACGCACTGGCCATGCAGGCTCCTGCAGGAGCTCCCATCAGTCAGGGTGTGTGCCCTGTGGAGGCTCAATCAGCAATGACATTTGTATTCCTGACAGTTTTATTTCTTTAAAAACCAGCCACACTGGAAGTTTCACTTTACTTTTTACTCCAGAAAGAAGGCCAAACCTGAGTGTAACAGATGCTGTATGGAATGCCCAGGACACATACTAGACCATGTGTGTGGTCCCCTTCACCATTATGAGATAAAACATCTTTCAGGAAAATGAGAAGGGTCCTTAGTTTTTCTAAGCAAAAAACCCTTAATATTTACACTAATGAAATGCAACAGGGTCCACTTAGCCAGAAGAACAGTATTCACACGGGAGCTCAACCAAGTAGAACTATTTTCCCATGAAGATCTTATCCTCAGTCTGGGCAAACAATCCAAGTCACACCAGACAGACAACAGTTCTACTATATATGTCTCTAGTAATTACACCAAAGAAACATGGCAGTCCTTACTTTAAAAATAATAACAACTTTAAAAGCTCAAATCAGCAGCACAATGAAAATATCTAATGATAAAGCATACACTGGGAAAACACAGAAAGTAGCTTGATATGGTCAAAATACGAAAAGTTTTACAGGGACATGAACAGGGAGTAAAAAGTCCTGCTTAGTAAATGGTGGAGGTTTTAGTTCATTTCTGTAAAAGAATGAAATAGAGAATAAAAAACACAAGCACCCGAGGTTTTGCATTTCTTTCTGGATAACAAATACTTTATAGCATCACTGAAATAGTTGTGTAGCTTTATAGTTCAAAGCTGCACAAAGACAACACAGAGCAAAGCTACGGGTGACTTTTAGTAGGTCTGGGAAGGAAGGATGGATGGACTGCAGCAAACAGGAAAAAAGGGGAAAACGTACATAGAGAAGGGGGAGAGAAAAGGTGTAGAGCTATGTGAGAAAAGAGTGAAACCAAGAACAAGTATCAGAAAAAGTCACTGTCGGAAACTGCAAATGCTCAAGAAAGAAGCACCATGGAGAAAACTGCATTTCCTACCAGGATCTCCAAGGAAGTGAAACAAATGGAAACTAGGTAGCAAGGATATACTTGAAATAGTTAATCAAGGATATCTGCCATCAAAACAGATTACCTTAACATGTATAGCTCCTTTATGGCTCATTCCTGTGCACCCATCAGAACTGGTTCGAGAAGGGAAATGGTTTCCAAGACCCAGTGAAACTCTTAAGTGAATTCGCATTTCTGATAAGAGAAAGCAGTCTCATTCTCAAAATTCTACAAGTGATCCCTCAAATTCCTCGCCTCCCTCTTGTATGATGGGTTGCTGTCAATGTAATTCAGCAGAGAGAAGCTTTCACAACAGAAGAAAAAGGCAGAACCACCCGAGGAAGGAGAAGCACCAGTTTGATAATGTAAAGCAAATGGCTTGAGTGGTTTATCGTTCAGCCCATGCCCTACTTCAGATCTTCCACGTCCTTGTGTGGCATCACCTTGTCTGCACAAAACAAAAGAAAGGATTTCTCCCTATATATAACTCTACTGATGGCATGGAGGGCACGTGGCCCAGGCCCTGTGTGCCACTAGTGTGACTATGCTTGCCTGCAACCGCGCTGCTCTGAAATGCCCATGACCCTGACTGCTCCAGAAGCACAATATTCAGAAAGGCCATGGCAAGCAGTGAAGTGTTAAAACCATAATGTTATCTGTCTTTGCCTCTGTCCTTTTCTCTCCTGCTTTCAGCCAGCTGTACCTCTCCCAACAAGCCAAAAAGCAAACCAACTGCAATCAAGGCCAATGGGGAAAAAGACATCAGTAATAACCTTCTTCCCAATGCTGCAGCCTAGTAGCTAAATTCATGCCAACTTTGTGAGAAGAGAAAAAAAATCTGTCAAAATGAGGGCACAACTACAACTAAAATATTAAGAAAAGATCTCTCCTCTTTTGCTTTCTCCTCTCATCACGTGGGTATGAAGGAAACAGCTTTCTCAGCTGACGAACTTCCACTGCTACAATTCACTCCTTTTTCCCCCTCTTTGTTTCTGATTGTTTCTCAATGAGCAAAGAACAGTCTTGAATAAGGAAAAATTATAATTTATGTATTGTACAGATATATCTGAAAAGGCTGTCAGTTTCCATCCAGCCACAGAGCCACCCCCTCCTGACAGCAAGGCTGTAATTAAGCTGATAGCATTAAGCATTCCCTGAATTACTGGGCTGAAGTAGCAGAGCAGTGTATTTAAACCTTTCACCCCATTCAGATCATTTAAACAATTCTGCTGGTGGCTTGTTTAGGCTACTCCTCCCCAAAGCATTGAAAATTAAGAGCACCCAAAAGAACTAAACACACCTAATTCAGTACTAGTCTTTCCCCAGTCCTAATAAACCATGGCTCACACAGACAAAGCAATGCCTTAT